TAGGGCCGTAATATTTTAGTATGATCTAGAAGACTATGGTACCTAGCTTCAAAAAAATAATCATAAAAATCGTCGAATTTTTTTTGTAAAAAACTTTATTACAAGAAAACGGCCCTTCCGATATCTACCAAAAACTAATCACCACGATTCCCAATCAATATCTTTCGAACGGTTTTTGAATTTTCATAATCGATTCAGAATTGCGGGCTAAAACGCAGACGAAAAATTTTTCACTTTTCTACGATTTATAAGGAAACGGCTTGGCCGATCGTCGCACAAATCTGATAAACAAAAGTCCTCATCGAGATACATCGACTTTTAAATTTTTGAAATCGGTCCAGCCGTTTTTGAGAACTGTCTGTCATATTTTTATCAATAGTTCTTCATGTATATGAATTAAAAATAATGATTTGTAATGATTATTTCAGACCACCAGATGTAATTATTTTAACTTTTATCCCTGCATCTCCGAAATCGCTGGACCTGCCTTCGCAAAAATGTAATCAATTTTCTTTGTATTTTTCGGTCAATACAAGTAAAATGTTAGAATCATTCGAATTGGACGGTCCGTTTTTTGAAAAACTGTCATTTTTGATTCTGATTCGGATTTCCAAAACGGCTGAAAATCCGGTATCTCCAAACGTCTTGTCCTTCAAAAATAATCAGTACGCCCCCTCATCAAAAGGAATCGTACTTTGAAATGAAAATTACAAAGAAATGTTTTTTGAATCAGCAAATCGGTTCAGCAGTGCTCACATAAATTTGTATCCACCCCACACATTTTTTGTAAGATATTCCAAAATGTTCAGAAGGTATTGAAACGTAAAGATATGCAAAAAAATTTATTTTCGATTTTTTGTGATTGCTATAACTTACCCTACGGTAAGTTAATAAATATTTACTTGAAAAACCATTACATAAGTTATTGAAAAATACGTTGGAAGTAGATTGCGGACTCTTTAGAAAAAAAATTAGTGAACTAAATTTTATGAATACCACTCTATTTAGTTGCCTGTGCGTATAAAGCAGCTAAAAATTGTAATAGATGGCAAAACATTAAATTTTAGCTACACTTTTATTATTATACTGTAACTTATATCGTAAAGTATTTAGTTCATCCACCATACAAAAACAAATATACATGATGATAGTATTTTAGCAAATTTAGTTATATTAAAGCAATTATGGTAATATATTGATGAGAAATACTGATATTATTACTTATCTCATATAGTTTTTTTGCACATCTATTGACATAAAATTGAGAATTTCTTAATAAAAGTTTGCGATACAAAAAATTCATAAAGCATTTAAATTATATAAAACCATAATACAACAAATAAAAATGGTCATAATAAAAAATGACAAAAAATAATAAAAAGCTAGCAAAAATTAGAATAAAAATGCTAAACATAAAAGAAAGTCCATAAATTCACGATTTCATCTCAAACTAATCTCCTATTTATCTCTTCATTTAGTTTGAGTCAAAACCTATCTCGTATTTGGTTCATTTAAATATTTAATATTCCCAAACGTTCCAAAGGGCGCAAAGCAGGTAGTGGGAAAAGATGTACAACGGTTTTCAAGATAAATAATAAATTATACTCGACTTCGTATACGATCATCAACAAGTCACTTTCAACAAGTTACTTTTTTGACAGGAACACTTAATTATGTAATAACAGAGTGGCGAAATTAGTCAGAGCGCTCAACAAATGCAAATTTTGTAACACAAGTAAAATGTATTTTGAATTATTTAAATCGAACGCTCCGTTATCTCAAAAACTGAAATACCATTTTTGTCACTTTTTGCCCCTTAGCTCCGAAGTGGCTAGACCTGTATTTACCAAAAACTAAGCAGCAGTCTCCTTATCAGTCGAATGTTTTTTGAATTATTCAATTCGGTTGATCTATGTTTTTAAAATAAGCTTTAAAATGAGTAATTCTGCGTCTAAAATGACTGAGCTATCATGCAAATAAAAGACGCATACAATGTTTTTTTCATTTCATTAAATAGTTTATGAGTGAGTTTATGAACTTAAGATAAAGATTAGCCTATTTCCGACACACGTTTTTTTTCCTCTCCATTTACTGCAATAATTTTGTTGATCGTACGTTGAATAGAGCACATGTGAACAGGATTTGACAAATTAATTCACTTCAAATATGAACATAAATAATGGGGTATATTGAATTATTGGTGAGAAAAATGTAATTTAGATATTGAAATTACTGAAAGCCAGTTAAAATATGATACGAAATTATAAAAATTATAGGTAACATTATTGAAGCAATTATTTTGGGTAGAAAAATCCAAGGTGATATTGTACCTTTACCGCGAATGCTATACATTAATTCTTTCTGAATTTGTTATACCTTTTAAAAGACTTCAATTTTCAACACGTGTATATTATGCTATTACCATAAATCACAAAGGCAGACGATGATTTTTTGTGTTTTGTGGAAAATCAATGTTTTAGTCGTGAATAAACAAAAAATCATTCATTTATACATCCACATCTATGGGTATGACTGAAAATATTGGATAAACATTGGCAATAAAATAAATCGAGCTATTGGAAATAAATTTGTTCTATGAATTGCAGTGTATAATCTTTAATATACAATTTTATTGAGCATATTTTAATATTTGTTAAAGGAATAATTAAAGTGTTAACTGTGGGAATTGAAAAAAAATTATTTGAAGCTGTTCTACATTTAACATCACTCATATATTAGTGTAAATAGTAATGCGAAAAACAATAATTAGTATTTTTAACTGAACGGTAAATATTAGTATAGGATATTAAAAAAACAAGCTACAGGACAACGTCTGTCGGGTCATCTAGTATATATATATATATATATATCTTCTTATATATAAAAATAGAGCTCTCGATCAAATGATTCGGTAAAACTCGAAAACGGCTAAACCAATTTGGCCAGTCTTAGTCTTGAAAAATTTGTGCCAATCCAGAGATGGTCGGAAAGGTGAGATATTATTTCAAAATCGCGTAGATGTTTTACATTTTTTATTTGAAAATTTTTGTAGAAGCGTAATTTAAATAAAACAATGGACGGTGGCTAATACGTGAAATGTCAAACGTTTTTGACAGATGATGTTCAATTACGTTTAATAGGATGTTTTACGTGAATATTATTTAATTATGATTAAATTGTAGTAAGTAGTTTTATTTATATACAAAAACGTTAGTAAACGGGCCGCAAGTGTTACTAGAGACTCAAAATATCAACTTTTTTGAAATGTTAATATGAAAATGCACTTTTTGGCATATTTTTCTCAAACACGGTGCTCTGAAAGATCTCATTTGTATAATTATATACTCATTGGTATTTATAAAACATTTTCTAGGTTATATTATTTTTATTCATATTATTTAAATTCAGAACCAAAATTTGGTATCGATCAAAGGGACATTTTGTCGAATAACATTTACCCAGTTACAATTTCCCAGAATTTATCGAAGAATAGATAAAAATATACGAAGGTCCGGGATTAAAAAGCATTGTTTAACAACAATATTTGAAAGAAGAGGGAAAAAGATGTATAACCAGCTATAACTTTGATTAGACCTTTCAAATCAAAGACCAGTCAAATTGGACCTTTGTGCCTCGCGCTGCTCTACATATTCACTTTTTATTATATAAACTTTAATTCATCGAATGTAACTTGAAACTTTTTAAAAAGCAGGTCAAAGAAGAAATACTTAATTCATTTTCTATCTTTCTTCGCAGAAATTTGAAAACTTTGTACAAGCTCAGTAGTATTATTTACAATTATACACAAAATCCCGAATCCAAAAAGAATCTCAAAACCTTGAAACCTAATCAATAAGTCGAAAGAACAAAAAAGACTTGGATTGGATTATACCATGTTTTCTAAAGAAAGTGTATAAAACTTTCAATTTTATTGTATTGACAAAATATAGACAAACTAATGGGGTTTATTGTTTTTATAATACCTCATTGTATATATAATTCAAATAACACATCCATATACACTTATTCTCTAGAAATTGTTTAGAATATACCTTACTTAGCAAAACAACGTTTGCCGGGTCAGCTATATATATATATATATATATATATATATATATATATATATATAGATGATACATATTCTCAAAATATTCTTTATTCATAATTTTAAATATATCTAATATTATTAATATCAATGTATTCCATCATCTCCAAGGCACGTAAAAGCCTATTCGTGCCCCAAGTTATTTATTCATTCGGTGTTATCACTTTGATGAATTATTTTGTGATTAATTAATGTTGTTTTGTCTTTAAAGATATTAGCTTTTTGTCAGGTAACATGTTAAGATGAATATGTATCATTTACAGAGTTTCTAATTAAAAAAAAATTATAGAACATAAACTTTTAAGAAGTAACTGACAATTTAATTAATTAATTTCAAAGTTTATATGAAAAATTTTATATGAAGGATACTAAAATTTCGTTCGATATTTACATTACTTTTGATATGATAATTTTATATGGATTACTCAATAGTAGCGTTCTTGATTTAAGACGACTAAATCCAGTAAAGAACGTGGTGAAGTTACTCAGTGAAAATTCATTATAAAATAACGATAAAATTGTTTTATAAAATACCAAGTGCATGAAGTCATTAACCTAAATATTGAATAACGTTTGTTACGCATAAGTTAGTAGTAAACAAAATGCATCACAATATTTTCAATATAGAAATTTACCACATAAATTTAAATCCAACATTTAAGATTGAGAAAAAATTCATAACATTTTTAGATTAGATTTATACGATAAATATAAAAAAAATAGAGTAATACTTCCATTGATTTTAGAAAATACAGGACTGTATTAAAATTTAAGAAAGGCAGTTGAAATGGGATTGTTGTTGTAAATGAGAGGATTCCTTAGCATAAAGATTAGTGACAAAAGTGTATATAGGCTTATACATCTACATTTATATTAGGATTTTTTATTTTCTTACCTTGCAGTTAAATCACAAAAATGCCAAAAAGTTGTCCTAGACCTGAAAGAAAAAGACAAAGTTAACATTAACATTTTTTCAATATAAACAACAATAACGAATAATACGTTGAACGAGAAACGAATTACATAGTTTCATTTCGTATGTACGAGTAATGTAGAGTCGACTGAAAGCCCATAAGTTTCATATCAGTGTAATAAATATAATTATAGGGAATATCGTGTTTTGATAGATACTATCAGAAATCATATAAATAAGTATTGAAATACATATGAACAATAAATATGCTTTTTGTTATTGTTTGTAGAATAAATATTCTTCTTTGAAACGTTGTCATATAGGGGTACTAGGGGCCTATTTTAACAGGGGTTAGCAGTAACAGGCGTTTTTCAAAAAGATCCTAAAACACTTTAAAGCATTATTTTGTCTCGATTGGACATGTGAACAGCCTCTGCCCGCATCATGTTGTCAGAGTTACTGTCCCGTATCTCAGATCGACACCGACACAGAATACGAATGTGTGCAGTTGCGTCATTTTTGATATTTGATTTAAAATTGTACTATCATAAAATTTCGGTTTGCGTTATTATTATCGACTAATTTTGAATTTTATATTTATCAATTATATTTTCAATAATAGTTATTATATTTATACATGTTTATGATTGTTAAATTGTTTGCATAGTTATCTTGATTAATGTAAAAAAATCAGACCTGGGGTTAGTTAACCCAAAATATTAATTATTAACTTCCCGTAGGGTAAGTTATTGTAATGGGCCGAAAATCGGAATTGAAAATTTTTACATTTCTCGACGTTTTGAAGGTTTCTGAACATTTTGGCATACTTCAGAAAAAATGGATATGTGTGTGTGTGTATGTATGTATGGATACAATTTTTCGTCCACGTTTTCGGGCGTACGGATCAACCGATTTGAGTGGTTCAAAAAACATTTGATTACTATTGATAAGGAGATGTGCTGATTAGTTTTTGGTAAAGGCAGGTCCAGCCGTTACGGAGATACGGAGCAAAGAACGCAGAAAATAGAAATCGAGTTTTTGAGAGAACGAAGCATCCGATTTGAATGAACTAAAAAACATTCAATTAGTAATGATTGGGAGAAGTGGTGATTAGTTTTAGCAAAGGCAGGCTCAGCCATTTCGAAGACACGGAGCTAAATGTACAAAAAATGGTAGTTTTTGAGAGAACTAATCGTCCGATTTAATTGATTCAAAGAACTTTCTGCTTGTCTTAACAAAATAATTGATTTTGGAAAAAAAAAATTTTGTTCCATTTTTTTTTTTTTTTTTTTAATTTTTTGTATATCGAAAATAATTCAGATTTTATTTTTAATTCTGACTATAGTTCTAATATACTGTAAACAAATAATTTCAACTTTGCAATTCAGTTTATATAATTTTTATAAATATTAGACAATGTTACAATATTTATGATAATCTATTTGAAAACATTCAGTATTCCTCGAACATTTCGTTACGGTACGGGAATTTCCAGCAATTTACCTTAAGGCACGATGCCACCCACCCCACTAGTTTTAGTTGATTTAGTGCGTTGATTTAGTTGATGAAAAGAATTACTTAGAAACAAATCAATTTTCTTAAAAATTAGTAAAGAATAAGTTATAAGAGGTAATACTGTCGTTTTTTGTCGTTACTACTTGCCCCGGTAGATGTCACTACTAGTCCTACACACGGGGTAAGTTGTAACACCGCACTTTTTTGAGAAAAAGATTAATTGTAATAATTATGCATTATTTATTCACTTAATACGCAAGAGGAATATACAGCATCTGTCCAACTTTATTTCGTATAAATATAATCAGTGGATCAGTGAAGTTTTATTTTGACACTGAGTATGCTTTTCTGAATGGGATATTGCGTTGATATTCAGAAACATATGGCCATCTATAATTTCATATGTAAACCGATGCCCCTACTTAGTGAAATCTGGCTGTCCGAAGCGGAACCTGGACTTTTGATTGGCAGCAAATAGCTCTAACCAATAAGCAACGGGTAAGCTGTATGAAATTGTATAGTAATGTCAATTTAACTAATAATATAAATAAAACCTTTTTGTTCTATTAATTTATTCTAAATGCTGCAACACGTTTAGACAAATTTTATTATATAAACAAATTTTATCACCTTTTTGCAATAAAATATTGATTGGTGTGGTAGTATGGCGAGGCCGAGTATTATAATGCATTAAAACCCCGTTGAGACAATTTTCCAGGAGTTGCACCAAAAACGCGTCTTATACGATAATATACAAAGAGCAGGAATCGCCGTATAGTGGTGTATTACACGATATATTGTATTCAGCATGATCATCTCAAAGTGTCTACTGTACTTTATTTAGCACAACTTTACTTCCAAATTTGGTCATTTCGTCATTAACGGCGCTCAGCTATCGCAGCCACAGTAAAGCAACGCTAAAACCGAAGTACTGCTATAAATTAGCGGCTACCGTAAAACAAGTTTCGCTCAAGGCGGCAATTTCAAACGTGCATTTGCAAAGATAATTCCGAATGCACGCATATACTTAAAACATAAATGTTTTGTTAACGATAAATGTAAATGTCAAACGATAATGTTAAGAATAGTTTATTAATTAACATGACTTTTAGTAGCTTGTTAAAACGATGAAATATATATATATATATATATATATATATTATATATATATATATATATATATATATATATATCTGTATCTATTCACATGTTTAATACTGTGTCAAGTTTAATTTAAAAATAATTATTTTTATTGATGTTACGCCCGAATTTTAAACTCAAATTAAACATATATATCAACATCAAATTCAAGACTATTCAAACATATGTAAATATATTATATATATATATATATATATATATATGTGTATATATATATATATACATAATATATATACATAATATATATATTGTAGTGGTATTCACCCTTTACAATAGTTATAAATAATATTATAAATTCGATGTAATAGTTAATATGAATAACGCAATTGGTATGACTAAGCTTGTGACATTGTATTCAACAAAGTATCAGAGATAAGCATACACGTGCACCAATCTGTAACCGCAAATGCGTCTAAAATAAATAGCTGAGTCAATCGTAACGGGTTTCTGCGATGACAAATAAGCCAGTATGAATCATTTTAACGTATTTTTCTAGAAGGATAATTACGTCATCATCAGAGATTATAAAAAGCCTGAAGACGAGAGAATGTGTGTTCATTCTTGACTAAGACGTTAAACAGTTCACATCACTTTTATCTAAAATATCAATTGTGTATTAAGTGTAACCAAGTAATGAAGTAGATAAAAATTAATAAAAGTCTTCAGATGTTTAACTAAATATTCCACAGTGATAAAGTTTATGATTAGCAGCAGAAGAACCTAATTTTAATTGTTGACATCGTTGGTGACGCAACATAATTGTTGGCAATGGATCCACAACATATTTGTTGACAGCCCAGAGGTGCACAACATATTTTTTGGTGGCAGCTTGGGATTCTGCGAATTTTTTATTAAAAATGCTAAAGTATTTACCATAACATGTTTTGAACATAGAATTATTGCATATTTGGAAAACGGATATTTAAGAAAATACGCCGAAATATAGCAATAATTAGATTCAAGAAAAGGTAAGAAGCTTTACCGAAAGTGGAAATATTAGTGAAATTACAAAGTGAAGACTCCAAGAATCAAGAAGTAAGAAAAGAGAAAAATCGTAACAAGAAGAAACAAGAAAATCAAATTAAGAATCAAGAAACAAAGAAAGAGAAAGAAGATAATACAAATCAAGAAAGAAGAATCAAGAAGTTCAAAGTGTTATATTTACAAGTGGAAAATCAAAGGTGAAAAATAAAATAAAAAGTGTTATAAAAAGTGTTATAAAATCATTGTTCAAGTGTTACAAAGTTCAAGTGATTGTGAATTCGAGTGAACCAGAAGGATATTAAATTAAGAAAGGATTACAACTCATTGTCAGTAAGCTTATTTTTAATATATTTTTGTAAATTTTTGCGCTTCTGTTTTAATTGTTCTACATATCTTTTCAAAAATGAATGAACCAGTAGATATGTCGCGCGAAGGTAAATTAAATATTCAAACTGCTATTGCCTTAATTCCGAATTTCAATGGGGAACCTTCAAATCTTCCTTCATTTATTACTGCATGTGATGCTTTATCGGTGGATTTGAATCCATCAGAAGCGGAAAAATTGCTTACAGTTATAAAATTAAAATTAGACCCACAAATTTTTGCAAAGATCCAATTTATTAATTTTGAAACGTGGGATGATTTAAAATGTTATTTAGCTAAAGAATATGTTGTAAAACGACCCATTTCTAGTTTATTAATTGAATTAAATAATTTAAAACAAAAATACAACGAAGCAGTAAAAAGTTTTGGAAACAGAATTGAAGAAATTTTACGACAAATTCATTATTCAAACGTAATTAGAGTGGGAAATGACTATGCAACAACAACACAAGTGACATTCGAACAAATAGGTGTAAAAGTTTTTGAAAATGGCTTAAGAGAACCGTTAAAAACATTAGTAAAATGTTGTCCATTTTCTGATATTAAAGATGCTATTGACTTCGCTTTGCAAGAAGAAGCTTGTCAAAATTCGTCAAATATCAGAAATAATCAAAATAATAATATAATATGTTACATTTGCAAAAAACGTGGTCATATTGCTCCACAATGTTTCTTAAATAAAAAGAATAATGCTAATTCAAATAATATTAACCAAAAGTTTTGCAATTATTGTAGAAAACAAGGTCATTTAATTTTTGAATGCAAAAATCCAAATCGAAGTAATTTTAATACAAATCGAAATAATTTTAACATGTCAAAAACTTTTATTACCCCTACCAACGAACACAGACAAACATGCAACTATTCGCACACACATGCAGAAAATGCTTCGTTACAAATTGAAAACAAAACTTTTTGCACAAAATCAATCAAAGAACAAGATTCGAGAAATGAAAAACAGCAATTAAAAGACAAAGATG